GGGAAATTGCCCTTTCCGAAAACCACAAGATTTTGGTAACGTTTTTCGGGGGCGAAAAATAAGATGCTTAAAAGGGCCATCAGTGGGGGCCCCAGGAAAACTACAGGAAAGCTTTTTTAAAGGAAAAGGAAAGGAGATCTGGTATTGCGGCCTGGGGAAAATTTTGGGCCCTTGGGGGCGTCCAATCAAAAGGATGTTTTGGGCCCGTCAAAGAATTTTGGGGCCCAAATTCATGGGCCCCTTCTGCATTAAACGGTGGTTAACAAAGTAGCCCAAATGAACTCCCCCTTCCCTGACACGCTAAAGGGATCCACCCGGTTTTATGTATCCCTTCTGAAGCCTGTGGTCCCGGGCCCCCTTCCCTGACCGGGAATCTAGCCCCCCGGAAAAGGGGGTAAGGGGTGGGAAGGGAAGGGGGGAATTTGGGGGTTTAAAAACTATCCTGAAGTGGTCAAACGGAGGGGGGGCCGCCCCCAATTCCTTATCAAAGGGGAAGGGCTAGGGGCCCTGAGGACAATTTTTGGGGAACCCGGGCCCATAATTTTTCCATGCCCCAGACTTGCCCGGAGGTTCTTTCGCGATCCCCCGTGGTGGAAAAGATTTGGGGGGGGCTTTCCGGAGGTTCCCCGGGTGGGGGGGGGAAATTGTCAGGGTTCCCTCGCCCCCGGGCCGCTTTGGGCCCCGGCGAAAGGCGCAGTATCCCGGGCCCGGCGCGGGGACTCGAGCACTGATTCCGGGCCGGCCGCGGCTTTTCGAGGTTCGCCCCCCCCCCCCCCCCCATGCGCAGTAGAACCCGGGGCCCGCCCGCTGGGCCCCCAAGGGCCCAGCGCAGGGGGGGAAATTTTTTAAAGGGACCCTGAGCTGTCATTCAGGGGCCTTTGGTCTTTCCTGCTTCGGGAATCCTGTAAAACCTGTACCCTGTAAGTTATTGCCCCGGGTTTTTACCTGACTTTGCTGTTTTTCCTGTTTGACCCTTGCTTTCCCGGGACCTCTTCCTAAATTTGCCCCCTTTTGGGGATTTGCCCCTTGTGTTGCTGCCCTTTGGCGTGTGACGCCGACCATTCTTTTCCCCGGCCTTGTCCTTCCCGCCCTCTTGTTCCCCCCCCGGGCCCCGGTTTGCCCCTGCTCCCCATCCATCCCCCCCGTGCAGTGGGGTCTTCTAAACCTCCCACATCAGACTTTTCCCCGTGGGACCCCCTTGGGGCATTACTATACCACTGAGGACGCCCCCCGGTAGTACGAACTGGTCTCAGGAGCTCCAAGTCCAATCCCACCATCAGGGGCCATGGTGGACCAAGCACCCTGGGACTTTAGACTCGTGCGTGGGAGCCTATTCAAGTGGAGTGCTTAGTAGTACGCCTGGGGCGGTCCCTGATAATCGTACTATGTGGGCAGAAAGTCATAGAGTGGACAGGTGGCCCTTGTTGGGACTACAGTGTTGCGTCAGCATATGCAGCGTCGCCATTTGGTGGCCTGGGAAACCGTGATAAAGATCGGCGGTTCTGCTGCACCTCCTCGTTGCTGCTGCCAGGTCCAGTAGTGTGTTCATGGGATCACTGTACGGCCTCTCCATTGGCGGCTGTCTCCAATCGGCCACACTCTGCCATTGTGCCACCTTTCAGGTCTCTCTCACACTGCTGGTGTGTTCTCCATTTTTGTCATAGGGTTTCGCGGCTGATTACGGGCCTCCCATTGCTGCTGCCTAGGCCCGTAATCTGCCATGGGCCCCTGTACCATGCCGCTCCTCATGCTGCTGCCAGGTCAGAGTGTGTCTCTAATGGGTCCCTGTACGGCCTCCCATTGCTGCTGTCTCCATTCGCCACACTCTGCCATGTAGCCACTTTCAGGTCTCCTTTCACACTGCTGGTGTGTTCCTTTTTGACATAGGGTGCTGGCCAGATTACGGGGAGCCTCCCATTGCTGCTGCCAGGCCCTGTAATCTGCCATAGCCCCCGTACCGCCTCCTCATGCTGCTGCCAGGTCCAGAGTCTCTCATGGGTCCCTGTACGGCCTCCTGCATTGCTGCTGTCTCCATTGCGCCACACTCTGCCATGTGCCACTTTCGGTCTCCTCACACTGCTGGTGTGTTCCATTTTTTGTCATAGGGTGCTGGCAGATTACGGGCCTCCCATTGCTGCTGCCAGGCCCGTAATCTGCCATGGGCCCCCTGTCTTTACCGCCTCCTCATGCTGCTGCCAGGTCCACAGAGTCTTTCATGGGTCCTGCTGTACGGCCTCCCATTGCTGCTGTCTCCATCGCCACACTCTGCCATGTGCCACTTTCAGGTCTCCTCACACTGCTGGGGTTGTGTCCATTTTGTCATAGGGTGTGGCAGATTACGGGCCTCCCATTGCTGCTGCAGGCCCGTAATCTGCCATGGGCCCCTGTACCGCCTCCCTCATGCTGCTGCCAGGTCCAGAGTGTCTTCATGGGTCCCTGTACGGCCTCCCATTGCTGCTGTCTCCATCGCCACACTCTGCCATGTGCCACTTTCAGGTCTCCTCACACTGCTGGTGTGTTCCATTTTTTGTCATAGGGTGCTGGCAGATTACGGGCCTCCCATTGCTGCTGCCAGGCCCCGTAATCTGCCATGGGCCCCCGTACCGCCTCCTCATGCTGCTGCCAGGTCCAGAGTCTCTCATGGGTCCCTGTACGGCCTCCCACATTGCTGCTGTCTCCATCGCCACACTCTGCCATGTGCCACTTTCAGGTCTCCCACACTGCTGGTGTGTTCCATTTTGTCATAGGGTGCTGGCAGATTACGGGCTCTCCCATTGCTGCTGCCAGGCCCGTTAATCTGCCATGGGCCCGTACGTACCGCTCCTCCTCATGCTGTACGGCCTTTGCTGCCTGTCTCCATCGCCACACTCTGCCATGGCTCAGAGTCTGTCTCATGGGTCCCTGTACGGCCTCCTGTACGATTGCTGCTGTCTCCATCGCCACACTCTGCCATGTGCCACTTTCAGGTCTCCTCACACATGCTGGTGTGTTACATTTTTGTCATAGGGTGCTGGCAGATTACGGGCCTCCCATTGCTGCTGCCAGGCCCGTAATCTGCCATGGGCCCCTGTACCGCCTCCTCATGCTGCTGCCAGGTCCAGAGTCTCTCATGGGTCCCTGTACGGCCTCCCCATTGCTGCTGTCTCCATCGCCACACTCTGCCATGTGCCACTTTCAGGTCTCCTCACACTGCTGGTGGGTTCCATTTTGTGTCATAGGGTGCTGGCAGATTAACGGGCCTCCCATTGCTGCTGCCAGGCCCGTAATCTGCCAATGCTGTGACGTTGCAACAAGGTGGAATTCAACCCTACATATGTTAGACCGCCTTTACGAACAGCGAAAGGCCATCACCGATTTCCTGATGTTACAAGCGGATAAAGGTACTCCCTGTGTAACTTAGATGTCAGCCATTGGCAGCTCATGCGTGACACCTGCCGCTTGCTCAGGCCCTTTGAGGAGGCCACGTATTCGCTATTCGTGAGTCGGCAGGACTATGGGATGAACGACGTCATTCCTCTGTTGCACGTCCTGGAACAAATGCTGTTAACAATGGCTGGTCAGGGTGCGGTAGACGTGGCGCACAGATCTCAACGCCACATGACCCCTGTGGGGGCAGGACAGGAAGAAGAGGAGGAGGTAGAGGAGGACATTGGTGCTCAGGAATTATTGAGTGAAATGGGTGGTTTTTCCACTCAGCGGACAGGAGTGGAGGAGCAGGAGCATCTGGTAGAGGAGGAGGAGGAGAGAGAGAGAGGACCCAGACGCACCGTGGCAGTATGCTGTGGAGATGGAGGCAGGGAGTCCCTCGCATTCCTTGGCACAAATGGCCCATAGCATGCTCGGTTGCTTGCGTAGCGACAGCCGAATAATAACCATCAGACAGAGGGATGACTTTTGGCTGTCCACCTTGTTGGACCCTCGCTACCGTTCAAAAATGGTGGCCTTTTTCACACCTGCTGAGAGGGAGGCCAAAATAAAGTACTATAAAAACCACCTATGTAGTCAGTTGGTCTCTGCCTTTCTGCGCCAACGTCCATCCTCAGACACTGTGGGCCCTGTGCGCTCGCGTTCCGCTGCCATGGCAGCAGGGGAGGGGTGGGGTGGTAGGAGCAGTGTGGCAGCTCCACCAGCAGCGGCTGCCTCAGTCTGCAGTCGATGATGAGTAGCTTTCTTCACCAGCGCAGTGAGGAAACTACTAACCAGCCGCTTAGCAGCAGCAGCAGCATCAGGTGGACCCTGGAGCAGGACCTCAAACAACAGGCTTGGGCCTACTTGGACAGCACCCTGCCAACCGAGGTAGACAATCCCCTTGACTACTGGGCAACGAAACTTGACCTTTGGCCCCAACTAGCTGAATTTGCCCTTGAAAGGCTGTCATGCCCGGCCAGTAGCGTGGCATCGGAGCGCGTGTTTAGTGCGGCAGGAGGTATTGTAACTCCGCGGAGGACACGACTGTCCACCCAAAGTGTGGAGAGACTCACGTTTGTGAAAATGAATCAGGCGTGGATTAGTCTGGATTTCAAACCACCAGTTCCTGACACAACTGACTAAATCCGCCATGAATCATGCCCCAAACATGTTATTTGTTTTTTAACATAGGCCTCTGTATGGCCTTCAATTTAAGCTGCTTACGCTTCGCCACTCTGCCATGGGCCCCTGTACCGCCTCCTCTTGCTGCTGCCAGGTCCAGAGTGTGTCATGGGTCCCTGTACGGCCTCCCATTGCTGCTGTCTCCATCGCACACTCATGCCATGTGCCACTTTCAGGTCTCCTCACACTGCTGGTGGGTTCCATTTTGTCATAGGGTGCTGTATTACGGGCCTCCCATTGCTGCTGCCAGGCCCGTAATCTGCCATGGGCCCCCGTACCGACTCCTCATGCTGCTGCCAGGCCCGTAATCTGTCATGGGCCCCTGTACCGCCTCCTCATGTTGCTGCCAGGTCCAGAGTGTGTCATGGGTCCCTGTACGGCCTCCCATTGCTGCTGTCTCCATCGCCACACTCTGCCATGTGCCACTTTCAGGTCTCCTCACACTGCTGGTGGGTTCCATTTTGTCATAGGGTGCTGGCAGATTACGGGGGGCCTCCCATTGCTGCTGCCAGGCCGTAATCTGCCATGGGCCCCCGTACCGACTCCTCATGCTGCTGCCAGGTCCAGAGTGTGTCATGGGTCCCTGTACGGCCTCCCATTGCTGCTGTCTCCATCGCCACACTCTGCCATGTGCCACTTTCAGGTCTCCTCACACTGCTGGTGGGTTCCATTTTGTCATAGGGTGCTGGCAGATTACGGGCCTCCCATTGCTGCTGCCAGGCCCGTAATCTGCCATGGGCCCCCGTACCGACTCCTCATGCTGCTGCCAGGCCCGTAATCTGTCATGGGCCCCTGTACCGCCTCCTCATGCTGCTGCCAGGTCCAGAGTGTCTCATGGGTCCCTGTACGGCCTCCCATTGCTGCTGTCTCCATCACCACACTCTGCCATGTGCCACTTTCAGGTCTCCTCACACTGCTGGTGGGTTCCATTTTGTCATAGGGTGCTGTATGGCCTCCCATTGCTGCTGCCTCCACCGCCACACTGTGGCTCCACACTCTGGTTTTGGCCCCGTGACTGCCCAAATGAGTGAAGTGTGCGGTGATTCTAAGATCGACGGCACTCATCTGCATGTCATACTGACTGACAGTATTATTTCTCTTCCCCAGCAGACTACAAGGGCATTTAAATTAAAGGTACAGTGTTCAGCACTAATATAAAGGCTCTCTGAAGCCTAGAAACACCCTTTTTAAAGTTAAATTCGCAGCGAATAATATTCGCCTCGAATCGAATTTTATTCCTCGAATTCGGTCCCGAATTAGCCGAATTGAATTTTTGAATACTTTTTACGCTCATCTCTAGTATAGCCATCCTTCGGCTATAGCGCGGTTGGGAACCAGTTAAATAAATAATAAGTCCCAGGCTAAACATTTTAGTATAGATTAGTTCAGTTGCTGGGCAGGAAAAATATTCAAATATTGAAAATATACAAAATGTATCAATATAATAAAAGATTTTGCAATAAACAAATGAAACACTAAAACCTGAAGAGTCATCCTGCAGAATTCCATATGATTCAGGTACTCACATCTAGCGTTATGACATGGAAATAATACAGAACATGCAACCAAGGCCATTTCTTTATCTTAATAGATAGGATTATTAAAAATGTTCTTTCACATCAAGTAATTACAAAGTCTTGTAGCAACACAGTGCTGCTATAGTCTATATCAGAGATTAGGCAGAGGCGTTAGATGAAAAGTAATAATTATTCTCTGCACTATATGATCAAAGTATAAAGAAAAGATTAAGTTCTGTACAAATGACATTGCTTAAATTGGAAAAGTAAAAGTTTGTGCAAAATAATCATCAGAGATGGGAGAACCAATCAGCTAAGATGGCGATCCCAATCCATTTGCCAATAGCAGATACCGTGTTTCCCTCGAAAATAAAACACTGTCTTATATTTTATTTGGCTCAAAAAAAACACACTAGGCCTTTTTTTAGGGTAGGTCTTATTTATTTAATGTAAATGTGTGGACATGGGGTGCAAAGGTGAGCTGCAGGAAGTTGTAGATGAGGGTTACTATAGAGAGAAACGACTGATGACAGTTGTGAGCTGCAGTCAGGTGTTGCAGAGGTGAATTGACAGGTGAGTTTCAGACAGGGTGCAGAGATCAGCCAGGTGCTGGGGTAAGGTGTGGCCAGGGGGTTCAGAGGTAAGGTGTGGCTGGAGGTGCAGAGGTGGGTTGCAACTCAGCTCACCTCTGCACCCCCCTAGCCGCAGCTCACCTTTGCACCCTGTCTGCAACTAATCTGTCAATTTACCTGCTGCAACACCTGACTCCAGCTCACCTTTGCACATCTCCCCCTCCACTACCCTCATATGGTTAGCTAGCTATGCAAAACACAGCTGTCAGCAGCTGGCCCCTCTCTGTAGTAACTCCTGTTTTGGGTCCTATCTTCCCACACACTGCACCAAGCGCACTTACTCACCGCTCCACCTCTTCCCCACTGGCCAGCGACCACCCCTGGGGCATCAGCTTCCATACATTAGGCTACAGGGACGAGATGCACCACCACGAACCTAAACGCACTGCACACTACGCCTGCAGATATCTGTTCCTTCCCTGTCCCACAGTGAGTACAGAGGTAGGGAGGTTTGTGGGAGAGCATGGTGCTGTCACTTACAAGAGGAACTGTCACTTACAAACACAAAAGCCACACTTCTGTGTTTATAAGAGACAGTAGATATTGGTGTGCACAGTGCAAGTGCTGGATTGGTGGTGGAATGGAGTTTCACCACGTTCCGGATGAAAAAAAGCCCTGATCAGTAGGTCTTGTTTTCGGGGTTGGTCTTATATTTTAGCAATTCCCAAAAATAGTACTAGGTCTTATTTTCGTGGTAGGTCTTATTTTTCGGGTAAACAAGGTATGTAAAAATACAGAGCGATGTGCAGGACCCCAATCTCTTGTAAGAAACACAAAGCATTCATTTACCTGAAGATACCAGCTCAGTACACTAGACATATAGACTGGAATCAATACAACAAGCCATCATGCAGGTCCCTGAAATACTGATGCCATGCCATATGTTTTTCAGCACTGGACCTATGGAAAGGGTCACAAAAAAGAAAAGAATTTGGTATGTGTGTGTGTGTGTGTATGTAGAATATGGACTGCTTCAATTATATGAATCAATCAATTCGCTAACCAATTTGTGTATGGAATCTCCCAGAATCTCATGGTCTCTGAAACTGCATAGTGAAAACCTATAATATTTATTTTGCTCACTGTAAGCAGAGGGGGGATACATTTTTAGACTTGATTTTTCAAATCGTAAAGAGGTAGGTATTAGTAAGAAGAATAAGATACACATCATGGATATTTAAAACTACTTTTTGTAGTTAAAATTTGCTAAAATAGCTGAACATACAGCAAAGTCACATCTCACTCATCCAATCTACGTGACTTGCTTGCTCAAAAAAAAATCACAATAGTAGAATACAGCACACTTCGATGGCTGCAATAAAATATTAATGGTTATTGGACTCTCATGTAAAAGAAAACATTGTTTTAGGTTCACAATTGTGTGATATCAGATGCAACAAGAAAAATCACTTTGTTTTTTTTCAGTGGTGGCATTCACATCAATGCAACTCAGCACAGCACAATTTTGGAAAAGGTTCTTGTCCCCTAGTTTTGGTGTTATTCCAGCGCAATTTTTGGCCCCCATAGATTATACAAACCTTAAAAAGGTTGCATCAAAGCTGCACCCAAGTAGCATTATATAAACACACTGAAAGTTGAATCGAAATTGTATAGCAACAGAGACAATCTAGCGCTTAAATACAGTTTGCATTAGAAGAATGCCTTTTTCCCTTACCTCTTTTTCAGGGATATCTAAATGCCTCCTTAGCTCCAACTCAAATGTGAAGAAGAATCTTTCTGTTGCCTGCCATTACTGGGCTTGTTTGTAAGAAGGCATCCTTTTTTTGTGTACTCCTCCTCCCCCCCCCACCTCCCTTATTTTAAGAAACAATTTAGCTCAAAAGAAGAAATAAAAATATTATTTTTCCAATCTGACCCTTGTAGACAGGATTGCAGGATTCCCTCCTGTAACTTGTCAGAGATGTGGATTTGGGAAATTTGCTACATTGTGGTAAACCTTGTAAATGTATAGCTCAGTTTAGGAAGGATGAAGCATGATGGAAGAGAAGGGTGAAGAGTTCAGTAAGCAAATATGTTCACATCTAACTAGTATGTAAGTATGTATAAACAAAAAGATGTTAGATTGATTTACTTTTTTCATTCTGAGTCATTAATAAATAACAACACAAATGATGTCTTTGTTATTTTTTAAGATTTTGTAAATGGAATAAAATTTGTAATTCGGTGTTGTTATGTTCTTTTTTTTTATCCAGGTTCTATAGTTAACTGTAGAGCTGGTTTTACCATTAGGCACACAGTAGGCCTATGTATGTGGGCAGAGTAAGCATAGAGGAGTTTTTCTTTCCTCTACAGTCATTGACTACACATAGTTTCCCATCGTCAGCAGAAAAACAGTCAACTCATATTATTACATTTACTTAAATAGCACTATCCATTTACACAGAACTTTACATATATATTGTACATTCACATCAGTCCCTGCCCTCCAGGAGCTTTCTATCTAACGTCCCTACTCATATTCATTCACATTGCTTTTTAATATATTTATAAACAATATAGGGTCTGGGATTAAAAAATCCCATTTCAGTCTTTGCAGATGACACCCAGCTGTGTAGTGGAATAACATCCTTACAGGTTGTCTTAAAACTTACAAGCCAAACTCAATGCAATGTTGTAATTGGGCAACTATGTGGCAAATGAGGATTTAATGTTGATATAATGTTAAGGTTATACACTTGGGGGGCTAAGAAAGAATATTGGCATGCATCACATACATACTAGGGGGGGGGGGTGTTTACAACTTGGGGATCAATGGTGGAGAAGGAGAATCTGGCTGAGTCCTGGTAGATCTATCTTGTATTAAAAAGAGGTATAGACTCCAGAGAGAGAGATATTCATATTACCCCTGTACAAATCATTAGTAATACCTCATCTGGAATATGCAGTTCAGTTTTGGGCACCCAATTCACAAAATGAACATTGGGGGAACTGGAGAAAGTACAGAGAAGGGCAACCAAACTGATATAAAAGGCATGGAGGAGCTCAGCTATGAGGAAAAAGATTAGAGGAACTGAATGTATTCTCTCTTGAGAAGAGGAGATTAAGGGGGAGTATGATCAACATGTATAAATACATCAGTAATGGTTCATATAGTGTCGAACTCAGTAGTTAGAGCTTTGTCACCCTGAGGTCATCTACCAGAGGACAAGTGGGCAATATTTACATCTGGAGGAAAAGAAATGTAATCTCACAAACAAGGAAAGGTTTCAAGACTTGGTTTTGGTCAGCTCAGTGGATTGCTTTTAAAAAAGGCCAGGATTGTTCTTAGATACAGACAGAATCTAACTGGATACTTTATCATTTATAGGTAACGTGGAAGCCTAGGGAATAATACGGAGATGCATCTCCGGGGATCTAGGAAGGAATTTTTGTTCCCGGGCAGAGGACATGGCAAAATAGGATCTTGCTTGTGGCTGGGTTTTTTTTTTGCATTCCTCTGGATTCAAACTGTGGTGGTATAGGTTTATATGTAAAACTATTGTATAACATACTAGGGCCCAAATTTACAACTATGTCTTTGGAGATGTGGAGGGAAACCCACATAGGCACATGGAGACATGCAAACTTCGGCAGTGTGTGGTTGGGGGGAAAAAAAGTGTTGGGAAAAAAAATTT